TATCGACTAAGCCGTTCGTAGGTTACACGACATATCCCATCGACAAGCGACAGACTCGCCGTTTCGCTCGTGTCAACGGAAAATACCAAAAGTACGTTTTTGATAAATATTTCAAAACCGTAATTTTGGTCATCCACATGTCCCAATTTGCGTTTAATACACCATTTATTGACCAATAGTAATTGGATGGAAGTGTAACATCCAAAGTCAGTTTATTTGGATTACGGTACGATCGTTTTATTACATGACAGATAAAGGCTTTAGATTTAATCACCACCAGCATTGGCTCATTAAATTCAATACATCTATGATAGTAAAACTTAAGCAAATTTCTTAATAAATTCAATACGGATATCAAATAACAGAAAGCTTAAGCAAAAAAATTTTTTTTTAAATAAAAATAAAAATAGAACAAACAAATCTACTATCTTTATCATATTATGGGCGGCGAAGCCGCCTACATGACCATGTATCTAGTTAATTATATAATTTTAAATTCGTGTAATATGACCAATTATAACAATTTTTACGAACGAAAATTAAACCCTTGCTTATAGTTAGGGTAAATATAGGTATAGGATTGAAGAAAGGTATAGTTTTATAACAAAATTTTGCAAGGGATTCTTTTTTATTTTTTTTGTTAGAAGCCGAAAGGTGGTTTCATAATTGAAATTTTGAGATATCGGTTTGTTTTGATGTTGCCCGTGTACATACACCCCGTGTACAAATAGTAACGGTTATGTTTTGAATAAAAAAATTATATTTTACTAACAATCAGTTCCGAAAATCACAAGTACTGTAAGCCGGCACAATAATCCGGCTACTATTTTTTCTGGGCGACGCTAGGGTTGTTCACTCCGAATGATCACCCATTAGTCAAAATCCAGGATATGATGAACGTGAAAATTTAAAAAATAACCAAATTTTTTCAAAATTTTGCTTATGAAATTACTTTCTGAGCTCTATTTAAAACAATTTCTTGCCAAATGTTACTATATAATACAGACAGAAGTCACATGACCGACACTTCGTTTTTGTCATGGTTAGGTTTTATCTATACCGACATTTTTTCAAAAATTTAATATAAAATGTCAGTATATTTACTGTATCAACATTTTGAAAATTTTCACTAATGCCTCGAAAATGTTGATATACGCATATTAATCGTATAAGCGCAAAATAACGTGCAAGGACATTATTTTGAATAATGGCCTGAATTAAGCTTAATTTAGACCAAAATTCGAAATTACACCCTGCACGTTATTTCGTGCTTAAATGGTATTAGTAAACATTAACATACACTAACAAATAATAATTTTGTGAATCTTATGTTTTAAATGAAAATGTATAAATAAAAATTATCAATATTATACGTATCAATGTAGATAAATAAATTTATATCTTTTTTAATATGTTATTCTATTCGGATTTAATTCTATTAATAAAACATGGCAACCTTTGTCAAAATTTCAGCTCCAAAATATGGAAAATTGGTTTTATTCGAAGACGCTTCTAATCATTAACAAATCATATCAAAAATAATAATAATTTTTTTTGTGAGAAATTTAAAAAGTAGTTTTATCATCAAATCTTCAAGAAAAGCAACACCAATGTATTTATATATGTGGTGTGAAATACGTAAAAATTCTCCTTATTATAAATATGATAAAATTATCTTTTTTTAATTTCTTAAGTGCATATAATATAAAGTTCATTAAATTATATTTTAATATAAAATATAATATTAAACTAAGTAATATTTGTTTATGCGTAACAGTAAATATATTTTCCATAAGATAAATATAAATAAAAATTGTTAGAATTTTTGAAAATCATACGTATTATAGGATCAGAGTTTCAGATTTGGAGTTACAACTGTTTTTTTTTTAAAAAAAAGAAAACCGAGACTAGTTTCTGATAGGCTTAGTTTCAAATACATGTATAATATATATAAACAGCATCTACTTTTGGTACTTGTGACTAAGTACTGTACATACGTATTCCATTTACAAGAATTAAATTTGAATTAATTCGAATTAAAGATGTTAAACTTATGGACCAGAATAATTATAGACAAAAAAAGAAAAAAAAAGATTTACATACAAATCGCAAGGTAATCATAATAATTGACATACCTTCTAGTTGATAATAATGCAGGCATATGTTATTGGTTTAACACTATATTGAAGTTGATAATACGCTGTTACCTTTATATGGAGTTATTAATAAATTTGCAACTAATAGCTATCTTCAAATTCTTTTTGTTAATTGTTAACATCTACTGATATTTATTTAGTTCTCCATAAAAAACTTTGCTTGATGTAACAATGTTAAATTACATAGCAAGATTCTTTATTATATGCAGTTACTTGCAGAAATTGGTTATATCTGAAAGTATGCTACGTATCCTCATTTTTTGGCTAAAAATGGTGGCGGTAGCTTATTTGGACTATCGGTAATTACCGTTACACCACTATACTTTATAAGTAAATTTTATAAAGAGAATTAAGATTCTCCTGCATATACGTTATACAGTACGTAATTACTAGTGCTGAAGTTACATCAGAGCAATATTACTAATTTTCGGGAGTTTATACATACCGGTACGTACAACATTCAATTAACTTATTTGAAAATAAGATTGTTTGTAAATGCAGTACGTATAGATAATATGGTCAAATAAGAAGGCATCCAAATAATTAAGAAAGTCATAAAAGACTAATGCTTATATTATATACTGAGTGATAACTATAACGTTGTAATACCTAATGCCATTCGTGACAAAGAATTACCCCTTTTTGGATAAATATAGAAAGGATCTGAAATCTATATCTTATGGAAACGTATCAGAGATATATTCAAATTTCCTAATTGTGCTTTCGTATTAAATTCGTGAAAATTAAGTGCAACAATATATTATATTGTACAGTATATAAAAAAGTCATTTATATACGTACTTGTCTACGTAAGTATACATACATTCCTTTAAAATTTTGACTTCTAGATTATTAAAATGAATCCCTTTCGAACATTGTTTTTTTCATTGATAGTTATTAGTTTTTTATCATTCTCAATTGTAGTATGTTATACTCCTGATGGTCGAGTAGGACATGCTAGTGTATTAACTGGAAGCAACCTCTATTTTTTTGGGGGTAATACCATGAAGCCGAGGTTTACTAGTCAAGTATTATATCTTAGTTTATCAAGTTCGTTTAATACAGCTTCACCTCCATGGCAAGTTACAACATCGCCAATCCCAATTCCACTTTATGCTTCTACTGCGTGTCTCTCTACTGACGGATCAGCAGTTTATCTTGTTGGTGGATTGACACTGAGTCCGCTAAATGCATCAAACCTTATGCTTCCACCACAATCAGCATATGCATTTAATTTTAATACCTTGCAATGGACAAATCCAACAATTTCTAACTTTAATAGTACATTTTATGGACGTGGTGATATAATAGGAGTTTCTGATAATAATGGAAAATATTACATGTTTGGTGGATTTCAAGCAGACTTTACAAACCTAACCAATTCCGTTTTTTATAATGACACAAATGTATTTAACACAAAGACATTGACATGGTCAACATTAAATTTGCCCAATACTCCACTTTCTCGTATATTTTATAGTGCAACATTTAAAAATAATCTTATATTTTATATTGGTGGTGTAGGTGATAATACTTTTGATTTGAATGAGGTATTTGTGATTTACATAATAAACCTCAGAAAACTTTTGAATTTATATTATGTGCAATAATTAATTGACTTAAATCAAGTAGATCCAAGTATTTGATACATCGGCTTTAAAATGGTTATCCATGGTACGTATGTATTAAGTATGTATGTATTCATAATAGAATAATTATAACAACCCTAAAATAATATATAAAATTGTTTATTTAGACGACTCGTGGAGATTCAGTTGGTGCCCGTAGTGGACATTCCGCTGTTTTAAGTACGTGCTTTAATGATATTATAACTTAGATTTACAGCTAGATATATACAGTCTAGGTTTACAGACTAGATTTACAGTCCAAGTTTACAGTCTGTGTTAAAAAAGTCCAAAGAAATATACGATGATATAAAATGATTTACAATTAATCAAAAATCCTGAATTTATGAGCAGGCGACCCTTTTATTCAACATTATAGTCCTCCAGTTAATTATTCAATTTTTATAATTACTTTTTTTATTACATTTTAATAGATCAAGATGGGCAAATTCTTGTTTTTGGTGGACTAGGACCCAATAACGTGCAAGTACAACCTGATGTCGCTATATTAAATGTAGATACTTCACCCTATACGTGGACAGCAATTTCAGATAAAGCACCACAAGCACTTGCGTATCATACGGCAACAATGTATGGAAAATATATGATCGTTGCATTTGGTAATAATAGTTTTTTTAAAATTGAATTTTGTTTGGTTTCCAGGATTAATCCGAATATAAAAAAAAAGCTTTAGTGGACTACATTTCACTAATTTTTTTATTATATATTTTTTATTATTCCATTTGAAATACCAATTTTCTAATAAAGTTCTAATTTAATGTTCAATGTTATGCTATGCTTAGGTTCAATTGTTTCTACAACACCACAGCCTTCATCAGCACAATTAGTATTAAACTCTAATTTATACATCTTTAATGCAAAAAATAATGCATGGATAAAAAGTTTTGATCCATCAGATCTAGGAAATAGTTCAAGTTCGAACAATGGTAATGGTTCGAATTATTCAGGTAATGGTAATGGTTCGACTGATTCACTTTCAACAATTGCAAAGATTGGTATTTGTTTAGCTGTAGGAGCTGCCTTTATTATCATAGTGGCTGCAGGAATTTTCTTTTATAAACAATATTGTGTTCGCGATCATTCTCCTAAATATATTGCTACCCCTGGCTCAAATTCATATATATAGTTTGTTAGGTACGTGTTTTTTCTTTTGTAGTTGCATATGTGACAGAATTGTTACTAATTAGATCTTTATACTATAGTTTTGTTATTCTAATTATAATTTCAAAAAGTTGATTATTTTTAAATTAGATCTTTATACTATAGTTTGTTATTCTAATTATAATTTTCCAAAGTTGATTATTTTTAAATTATATCATATTGGTATTACACGAATTTAACCTGTTATTTAGGAAGAAAAATTGGCTTTTTTTTTTTTTATCAAGACCATTAGATTTAAAATTATCAAAGATAATAATTGAAAATCTTTAAATATTCAAGTATTGGATGTTACATTTGAAACTTTTCAACTATGTATACATTTAAAATCTAAAATGGTGTGAAGAATTACACTAATACATTCATAACGAATTCTAATGTATATTCATAACGAATTCTAATGTATATTCATAATGAATTCTAATGTATATTCATAATGAATTCTAATGTATATTCAAAATGAATTCTAATGTATATTCATAATGAATTCTAATGTATATTCATAATGAATTCTAATGTATATTCATAATGAATTCTAATGTATATTCATAATGAATTCTAATGAATATTCATAATGAATTCTAATGTATATTCATAATGAATTCTAATGAATATTCATAATGAATTCTAATGAATATTCATAATGAATTCTAATGAATATTCATAATGAATTCTAATGAATATTCGTAATGAATTCTAATGAATATTCGTAATGAATTCTAATGAATATTCGTAATGAATTATATAATGAATATTCGTAATAATTTCTAATGAATGTTTCCAGAATAAAGAAATTTCTTTATCTAAAATATTCACTAGTTCAAATAATATCAGTATTAAAATTTTCTCAATATTAATTTATGAAATTTTTTATACATATAAATTTATTGTTATTTTTTTTGATTAGATTATCAAATTTGATCATTATTATTATTCGATCAGAGAATTTATTTCTAAAACAAAATACATATTGGAAATAGGACCACTATTGCTAAGGCTGTTAAGAGGCTCCTAATCGTACTAAACTATAGTTCAAAACATAATCCAATAAATTCCTAAACCTTCAAACACCTTGAACAATTTAGCACCCAAGGTTATCTAAAGGAACGTTATACCTTAACAATCGGTAATACTTATTCCGGCATATCTTCAATTAATCATCTATTGATTCTGCTTGAACATTCGTGCAACCTCGTTAGTACATGTTGTTAGAGGGAAATCCGGTTAAAGCCGTTGCGTAACGATCGTCGAAAACGTGACCGAAAACGTGACCGGAATCGTAA